CCAGTCCCTGGAACTGTCCCCAAGCTGTCCAGGGTCAGGAAATCCTTATGGAAAATGCACTCAAGGCTCCCAAGGGCTGCCATGGCTGCGGTGACCTGCCCGGGCGAGCATCTGGCCCCGCAAGGTTCTGGCGTCCATGTCACCCTCCCAGCCACCAGAGCAGAGGCATCTGTCCCTGGGTGCCCCCGTGTCCTGGCCACCTCCACTGCTCTTGTCCCTCCTGCAGTGCCAAGAGGATTTTACCCTCTAGATTTTGAGGCCCTGGAAGACCTGCTGGACTGGGGACAGGATGGCACTGGGGGTAGTGGCAAGGTTGGGAGTCTTCCTCCCCATCCCAGGGGCTGCCCAGGCTCTCCCCTACTGGAGCAGGGCAGAAGGGCTGATTTCTCTCCTGGTTGCAGGCAGAGGTGCGTCGGGAGCTGCACTGGAGCTCTCTCTATAGGGTGCCTGCTGGTGAGGTATGTGCAGGCTCCCGGGTGCCAGGCTTCTTTGCTGGGGGCTGGCAACAACCCTTGACTCTGGGCCAGCACAGGGCTGTTCTCTCTCCACAAAACCTCAGGGGCTGTTTTGTTTCAGAAGCTCTCCTGCCAGGACATTGGTCCCAAGGCCTCGCAGGAGCTGGCCCACAAAGCTCCATGCAGGCTGAGCTGGCTGCTGGAGCAGCATAGGACCATGGGGACCTATGTCAGCCACCACGAGAGCCAGCTCCAGCAGCACAGTGAGCACTGACATCCCCACCATGCCGGGCCACCATGCTGGGTTGTGCCACCAGACCTTTGCCAGGACTGGTGGATGGTGGGGCCACACTCAGCCATCCCATCTGGGTCCCCAAGCCACTGCAGCCCCCTTGTCCCTCTGCCTTGCTCCCAGCCACACTGGCATGGCTGGCGGGGACATCGTCATTGCCCTCTGTGGCACACAGGTGCTGGCTGTGCCTGGGGTCTGGCAGCAGTGCCAGGGGGTGTCCGCAGCCATAAAGCCACCTGGGTTTGGGATGGCACCATGCTGGGGGCCTGCAGGAGCTGGCACTGCCTGGAGCAAAGCTTTGGTGTCTGTTTTCAGATGGCTTGGGGACCTTGGAGGATGCAGCTGCCCAACTGGAGAAGATGCCAGGCGAGATGAGGCACCTGCAGGATGGAGAAGATGCCCAGCGGCCCAGGCTTGGGGGGGGGGGCTGCACAAGTGCCTGGGGGCTGCAGCCCCACACCCCGCTTGACAGGGATGCACTGGGGCATCTCTCGGGATGTCCTTGCTAGCCACTCACTGGGGCCACCCATAAGCATACCTCCCTGCCTCATTTGAGTCCTGCAGCCACCCTGTTTCTCACCCAGGGCCACATTTGTCCTCCCCAGGGGCTGGATTTCGGCAAGGAGGTGTTGGGCCATGTGGGGCAGCTGCAGGAGCAGTGCATGAGGCTGCAGGAAGCTGCGGAGCGGCTGTGGGGTGACACTAAGGACACCTGGGTGAGCACAGCCCCGGGCTCAGCACAGGAGCCACTTGTGCCATGGCTGGTGTCTGAACCAGGTTGGGTACAGGCTTGCCCAGACTTGGTGCGTCCCCACTCCGAAGCAGCTCAGCATGCCAGGATTTTGTGGCCTTGCTGTGCTGGTGGAGCTGGGGATGAACGATGGCGAGTGGCTCCAAGGGAGGCATAGGGGAGGGCAGGTGGCTGGGGGCACGTGGCAGGTGTGGAGCCTGCGCAGGATGGTGGAGCACCCAGCCATGAGCAAGATGCTGCTGGAGCAGGGCTTGGGTGTTGTGAGCAAGCAAATGCATGCAGGGATCGTGGGAGGGCTGGGGGTCCAAAGGGGATGGCTGACACCATGCCCCCCTCAGAAAGCAGACAAGGCTGCGCCGGAGACCAAAGTGAGCCAGGAAGAGCTGCAACATGCCATGGTCCAGCTCAGCAAGGTGATGCAGGACCTGCTGCAGAGAATGTAACTTCTGGACCAGGACAGGCAGAAAGCCCTGGAGAAAATCCTCAGCGAGATGGACTCCAAGCTAGCAATGTCACCCAGGGAGGGTGGTGGGCATAGAGGAATGCACCAGGCCAGGGAGCACATCCGTGTGTGCGGAGGGTGAGCCCTGAATCTGCCAATGCCAAGAGATGACGGTCCTTGCGCCAAGGCTGGCCATGTGTCCCAAATGTCCCTCAGGGGCAACAGCATCCCTTGAAATGGGCCTGGTGTCCCAACAAGATCCCCTGCCCTCCCTGCAGCTGGACTGTGCAGCACTGGCTCCCCTGCAGGCACAGCTGGAGCAGGTGTGGAGGCTCACCCAGCAGTGCCTCTGCCAGGGACCCTGATGCGGTGCCAACCGTGCCGCCAGCTTCAAGAGGTGAGGGCTACCAAGTCCCATCCTATCCCATCCCATCCCCTTCTGTCCTCTCCTGTACTGCCCCATCCCCTCCCATGCTGTCCCATCCTGCCCTGTCTGTCTCATCCAGACCCTGTTTGTCCCACCCTGCCCATGGGATGCTGACCACCCATGGGACTTCGCGTGGTCCCTGGGGTGCCGGCGGGGCACTGAGCAGCTGCCCCTGTGCTGCAGGCAGCTCTTTGATCCAGTGAAGTGCATCTCCTGTGACAGACCCCTGGCCCTGGCCCCAGCGCCGTGAGTAGTGTGCAGCCCCCCCAGGACAGACCCCCCTGCTGCATTTCCACTAGAGACCACTGCCTGACTTTGCCTTCACATCCTCATCTGCAGGCACCTGGTGACCATCCAAAAGGCCAACCAGCCCCATCTAGCCAGTGCCGGCAGCTCCAACTGCCTGGCACAGCGGCTAGCGGGGAGGTGAGCCTTGCCAGGTGCCACCGCATCCCTCCGTCTCCCTTTGGGGTCCCTCTCTCTGGGTGTGAGGGGTAACGTAGGTGCTCCCTGCCCAGGGAGAGTGAAGGGAGCAGCAGGGCCGCCCAGGGCCCTGCGAGTCCTGCCGGGCCACTGTCCACCTCCAGCTCCCTTGTCACCGTCTGTCCCTGCAGAGACCCTGCAGGCTTTGTCTGCAAGAACATAAGCTCCTATCCCCATGCTCTGGAAACCCACCAAGCCCACCCGGGCTGGGATGGTGGGAGTGCTGTGGGCTGGTTGCAGCCTTGGGGCACCTCCGACCTCACCGGCTGCTCTTCCCTCTAGGGAGAAGTGGGTATTTTGGGCATCAATGGGATTGTCTACAAAGGCAGGCTGAGCTTGCTGGCTGCCAACAGGACTGTCACTGTGGACATGGACTTCCCAGGTAAGGGAGCAGCCCCGGGGCACCACGTTAGCTCCAGCCAGGCTGCACAGCCACCTGAAATGGCATGTCCCACCGTCAGTGCCTGGGACGGCCCAGAGCCCTGCTGGGGCCGAGCCATCAGCAGCCTTACATCGCCCTGTGCTAACAGTGTCTCTGTTTCTCACCCTGAAGCAATAAAGACCCCCCAGCCCCACTCCCGGCACACTGCAGCAAAGATGTGCCATGTCCCCAAGTACGGCAGCTGCTGCATGTCCCCATACCCATGTAAGTGCCTGTCCCAGGTGTCCTCCAGGCCACCAGCCCCACCAGGTGGGCTCAGCCTGCTGCTGAGCACTCCCCAGGGGCCTCCCAGGGCTGCTGCTGGGGGTGTCGTGCCCCATGCAAGGCTGTTTGTCCTTCTGCATTGCAGGTGCTGCCATGCGGACAAAGACAGGCTCCGCAGGGGACCAGTGGCAGGCTGCCACGGGTGGCAGCAGGACGTCAGGTGTCTGAACTGGCCAGGGGGCTGTGAAATGGCGTGGGGATCTGGGGGGTGGGGGGTGGGCAGGCGCACCAGAGCTGTGCTGCCTGCCTTCGGGGACTGGTGGGGTGGGAGTCACACTGCCCTGACAGCTGCACACTGCAGTGGGGTAACACTGCAGACCATAAAGATGCTCCCTCCTCTGCTGCCTCTCCTGCGCAGTCCCTGGGCTCGCGGGGCATCCCTGGGGACTCGGCAACCAGAGCCTGATGCTTTTGGGCTGTGCTATGTCCCTGTGAGCTCTCTCTGACCAGTCAGATGTTCAGGTCTGTGGTCTGGCCCTGGATTTTCCAATCCCATGGGTCCTGGTGGCCCTGGGACAGTCACATGCAGGTTCCCCTTGCCACCACCCAGGTCTCCATGTGGCTTCAACCATGTTTCACAGGCAGGTGCCTCCCTCCAAGGTTGAGGACAGATCCCTTCTCTGTCTCCCCTGGGTGGGCTCTGTACTGCACACCCACTGCCTCACAGACCATCCCCACTCCCAGCAGGACTCCACGCTGGCCTTGATGTGCTCGGGCCACCACAGTTGGAAGACGAGGCCCTCAGCCCTGGCTCACTGGGGATGCCACCAGCTTGGTTCAGTCACTTCGGTGGGGCAGGACCGGGGCACACAACTCCAACACAACCCCACGCAGGGAAGCTCACAAGTGCCAGCACCAGTTCCAGCCCTTGCTCCCAGCCTGTGCTGAGGCTGTACAAGAGGCAGCCTGAGTGAAACCACCACTCCTACCACGTTTATTTTAGCAACACAAGTAAGAAAATGAAATTAATTATTGACTGGTGAGCACAGGGATGCAGGGGCACAGCCTCATTGGGGAGAGGGCTCAGCAGGGATGGCGACCTCCAAGGGACCTGGCCCCTGTCATCCAGTGAAAAGGGGATAGGAGCCAGATCACAGCAAGACACCCAGGACCTGTGGGTGTCCTGCAGGGACACCGAGGTCTCACTGCAGCCCTGCCATCAGCCTGCCCCTGCTCCTGGTGGGGTCTCACAACCACAGCTGATGCAGTGGGGCAGCGGGCAGAGCTGAGCCCTGGCATGCACCTGGCCAAAGGCAGCTGGCAGTCACTGCACTGCTGGGACAGGGTGTTTGGAGCAGCGCACATACAGCGGAGATGTGGCCAGCCCCAGCTCGGAGGCACAGCACACACAGAGCCACTGGGAGAGGGGATCCTGAAACACCCCAGGCCCAGGCCAGCCTTCCCTGCATCCCACCACTGCTGCAAACGAAGCAAAGACACTGTGTTCAAAGCAGAAGAGCATGTATTGCAAGCGGCTGCGGTGCATCCAGAGAGACTTCCAGCCGCCAGGAGAAAAGAACAGAGGGGTTAAAAACCATCCCAGTCTCTAGGGTTACACTGTGTCATGCAAACAGCCCCGGGGCAAACCCCATCCCAGGAGGTCGAGGGGAGCATGTGCTGGCCCGGTGGGTCACTCCCTGCTGCCCATCACCGGGGCTGGGCGAGGGGCCAGGCGCCTCCCCGGGAGCCGGTGTCCCCCAGCCCTGCTCACCAGCGAGCACGGCACATGCGGGGTGGAGGCTGTGGCCAAGCAGAACAGCCCTTGCTCTCTCCCCCCCCTTACAAAAACAAGCTGTGTGGGGTGTCTGCCCCGCACCCAGTCGAGTGGGACCAAGGGATGGGGGGAAACACTCGGGCACAACCCACTCTGCCTGGTGGGGTGGCCCAGGGGACCATGAAGAAGGGACCTCCTCCGTAAATGTCACTCGCATGCAAACTCCGGTGTCCCAAGAGAGGAGGGGGTGCTCCCTCCCCAAGAGCCCGGCAGTGGCCGGGTCCCAGGCAGAGGCCAGCACTGGTCCTGCATCCCACGCAGCCTCCCGCTGTCTCTGGGGAGCTCTGTTCAGCTCGAGGACAAGTAAAAACTACTTCAAACCAAACCCATGCAAGGCAGCTATTTGCTCATGTGTCTTGGCGGCTGCCAGACACCCTGGCAGCAGAGTTCCTCTCCTCTTCGGGGAGGGGGGGAAAAAGAAAAAAATATATATATATTTATAGGCAGGGGTCCCCGCCGCATTTGCTTTCTGCTGCGGCCTCATCTCTCTGCCTCCATGGTCACGTTAGCCTTCTGTTCTGCCGTGGCCTGCTGGGAGACGGCGGCTGGCCAGCCCGCGGGCTGCGCCGAGGGGGCTGGAGTCCACATGCTCTGCTGCTGGCCGGGGGGCGAAGCTGCGGGCCAGGTGGGGTTGAAGGCCCCATGCTGGGGCAGCGGCGGGGCCGGGGGCGGCGGGGAAGTTGCCATGGAGGCCACGGGGCTACTGCTGTTGAAGCTCTCGGAGGCCTTGAGGCGGGAGAACATGGTGAGGGCGTCTGGGAAGTTGGGCGGCGTGGCCGGCGTGTTGGCAGGAGTGCACATCTGTGGGAAGGAGACACGGGATCAGGCGGGGTGGGGGGGCTTGTCTCCACCTTCTGCCTCCCACCAGGGCCCAGCACAAGACCCCTCTGTCCCCACTGCTGCAGCACACGGAGCTTCCAGACCCATGCTCTGCTGACAATGCTGCCCGCAAGCAGCAGTTATTTAAGGCTCTGAAGACTAATGCTGTGGTGAGAGCTCCTGGACCCTGCTGCACCCGGCCAAGGCGGGGACACCCTCTACTCCACAACCCGCTGGTGCCACCCTGGCCCTGCAGCTTTCTGGCTCAACGGGCGCAAGGCTCAGGCTCAGCTCCCACCCCACGGGAGACTGGGTGTGCCTAGGCCCTGCCAGGCACTTGCTCTGCACACTTACTGCACGCTCCAAATCCCCAATTGTCCCAGAGAGTCAAATGAGGCCACAGCAGCCAGCAAATCCCTAAGACACAGCTGCCCAAGCAGATTACGGGCTACTGGGGCACAACAGTTAAGGGACCGAGTCTGGGGACAGATGGGAGAGAGCGGAGGCAGGCAGCCCCCACGCATGCGCACGTTCTCTTGTGTTTACACACATCCAGACACTGTGCATGCTGTACTAGAGGCATGCTCCGGCGAGGGTCCAGTGGTTTGCACGCTCAGTCACTCCAACAAGCACACGAGGACTCACACGTGCAGCTGGGCTATGGGGCAGGAACCACGCACATATCTGCACGTGTGTTTACAGAGCCTACAACGGGCCAGTGCTCCAGGATCCCCCCAGCCTCTCTCTGCCATGTTGGGGCTGATCTGGACTGCTGGCCATGCCCAAAACATCATCCTGTCAGACCATCCCTCTCTGAGGAGCAGCTCCAACCTCTCTGTAGGTTTCTGAGGGCACTCCCAGACCTGCTGTCCCATCGCATAGGACAGGCTATGCCACCCCCAGCAGCTCTCCAGGAAGACTTTCCTTAGCAGGCAGCTCTGGCAGCGCCTGGCCAGACCTCCCCGCCTGCACTCCTGGAGCTGTGAAGCAGTGAGCTGGGCATCAGCAACAGCCCAAAGCGCCCGCCAGCTGGTGCTGTGCCCCAGGCGAGCACTGAAGAGGTGGGAAAGCACTTACCATCTGATGGTGGTGGCTGTAGGGGATGTTTGTTTCTTGGAAAAAAGCACTGAGAGCAGTCTGCAAGAAAAAAAATTTAAAAAAAAAAAGATTATGTTACCACCAGCACACAAGCTGGGCACCCACCTCAGTCCTGCACACAACGGCAGGGCTTTGCAACACCCCAAAGATGATCCGAAACAGGTCCGGGGGGCTGGACCATGCCCACAGTCCCCTTGCCCGCACAGGAGAGCCCTGTGCACAGCTGCTCCCACGTCCCCAAGCAGGGACCCGCGCCTGCCATCTGCTTGCACTGGGGCAGGCAGCAATCACGCATATTTGGGATCACCATGCTCCTTGCTGAGAAGCAGCCACTGCTCGAGTGGACCCCAGCAGGCATTTCACAACTCACAGCGATGCTCAGCAACTGCTGTGTGCAAGGAGAGGACGGAAGCCAAATCCAAACCCAGCAGGGGAAGGCCAGCAGGAACTGGTTAGATGCATGTCCTTAACAGGACAAGATCACAGTCACCATATTTGCGCCAGGAGATCCCCAGGGGTGGGGCTGCAACAGGTAGCCCACCCCATATACCAGAGCATTTCCAATTCAGTCACAGGCAGGGTACAGTTATGACTGACATAATTTTGGTTAGCTTCCAGTTCAGACCAGTAATAATCCAGTAAATGTCACATGCCAAAGGCATGTGAGAGGACAAGGGCGGTCGCAGGGAGGGAACGTCAGGGGCACGGGCTGGCCAGGAAGGCAGACACCCAGCCCAGGCTTGGGAGGAGCAGAGGCAATAGGAGCTTTGGGGGCATGTGGGGCTGGGTTGACATAGGACAGGCGAAGGAGAAGCTGACTCCTGTTCTGTGCCAGGCTTTAACTGAGTTAGGGCTAGAAAACAATGTTTTGATTCAGTTGCAGATCAGACTTGATAGAAATGTTAGAGAATTGGTTTGGATTCAGTTCTGGTTGGAGGAAAAGCCCCCATCAATCCCCATTCAATCCCCTCCCCAGGGCAGCCTGGCCTGCAGGTCTACAAGCCGGGGTGCAAGGCACAGAGCCGCGGCCAGGCACTGTCACACCACCCCAGACTGCTCTGTTCCTGCAAGCCAGTGATGGGTTACCCAAGCTGCTTTAAAAAAAAAAAAGAGAAACACCCAGAAAAAGCAGAGGTAGGTTGTACCAAACCCTGTGCAACTGCAGTAGCCACAGTCCTACCACCACACACACTCCTTGTCCCGGTGCCCACAGCCACACGCTCCTGTATCCCATCCAGGAATGGGATGAACGATGGCAAGTCAGCTCCATTCACTGATCCAATGGAAAACTATTCTGGCCCCAAACACCCAGGCTGGCAGGCCCTGGAAAGGTGAAGGGGCTGTGCTCGCACCACTGGGGGAGCTGGGGAGCAGGTGCCGGCCGCTTGCAGCAACGTTGCTGGTTTCCTGGCTAAACGGGAGTAAACTATCAGCCAGACCAGGTGGCAGCCAGGAGCATTACCTGCAAACAAAACAGTAATCCAGACCTGGGTGGGGGAAGCAATTGCTGCTCTAGAGGCTGGCAGCTCCCAGACCTCGGGGGGAGCATGCAATAGCTGGGCTGGCGAGGCTCTTCCCCACGATAGCTGCATTTCTCTGGCTGTGTTTAATAACACAGCACCCAAACCTTGCAGTCAGCCAGAGTGTGACCTGAGAGCCCTCAGCATCCACGGGTAGGACTCGCCAGATTTCAGTAACGGCCATAGAGCGGGAAGAGGGTCCGTGTCCACGGACACCTGCTCTGAACAGGCCAGCACACGTCTGTGAATCAAGGAAATGGCCGACGGAGACATGGACACTTCTGAGGCAGTGACACTCCCATCACCATGCTACCCTTTGTCCTGGGTGAGGTCTGATGTCAACACCCACAGGCCCTATCGCTCAGACAGAAAGGATTGTGATAAGAAAGAGAGGAAACAGTGAACGGGAAGCACAGGCAGAGGTGTGGGCACAGCCAGATACCATAAGCTGATTAAATCTGCTCTGTGCTCCTGTTTTCCAAATGGCCTCGTATCTGGGACTGTGCCATCAGCAGATCGGGGCAGAGAAGGTCCCCACTGTCCCTGAGCCACCCACCAATCCCTGATAAAGCTAGGATGAAAGCCGTGACCTGGGTGGAGGAAGCACTCCACCATCGCAAACCCCTCTGCCTAAAACACTGCATCTCCTCCCCTCCATCTGCCCCTTTCCAACCATGGCAGAAGCAACCCCTCTGGCCACCACAATGTCCGCTGCCCGCAGGGAATGGCTGCCACCTCCCAGGGGAACTCAGGACCTGCAGCAGCCCCAACCCAGGTGGGCGAGAGGCCCGCACACCCATCCCCTCGGTGGCACAGGGTGCCAGGGCCACACGTAACCAAAGCTGCTGATGCTGCTTGGTCTCCAGCCAGCATCACAAGTGCCAGGGGCAACCGGTGCAACAGCAAAGCCGATTAAGGCTCCTCTGCTTGAGTAGGTGCCCAAGTACCAGCTCAGCCCCGACCCTGGACCAAAGGCCCCATTGCCCCTGTTGCCCTGGGTGTGAGTGGAACCAAGACAGCCGCGCACCCACTGCCTGGCCACGCTCAGCAGGCGACCAGGCCACTGCGTGTCGTCCCCCCACCAAGGATGCAAAACCAGGAGCTTTGCAGGAGGCGGATCACACAGAGACCCTGCCAGGGCACCAAGAGAGGCCAGTGGTGACCGAGTCAGAGGGAGGATGGCTGCAGGGGCCGGGTGGGGGAGTGAATGCAAGGAGACCTGGGTGCTGAGCAGAACAAGCTCAGCCTGGTGGAGCGGGACACCCAGCCCTCTGCAGACACTCAGGTGGGACCCTGGGTGCTGCCTGATCCCCTGCCGATCGCTGCTCAAGCTGCACTCACACCCGCTCCCCGCTGCATGTGTGAACTGCAGCAGTTGCCAGCATTGGGGATTGGATGCCAGCACAGGGGATCCAGCAGCAGGGAGCCCACAGTGCTAGAGCAGCCCTGGGGGCAATCTGCCCTTGAGCCACAAAGGGAAACGGGCTCGATAAAACATAAATAAATCAGAAGAGGAAGTGGAAATCCAACCATGGACACAGCGGGCAGAGCCGGACACCTGCTCCTTCTCTTGTTCCCCACACACAACCTCACTACACTGAACAGGGACCGACACTTAACACCAGGAAAAAGGAAGGAATGGGTGGGTTTTTTAAAGCTGATGTCTTCTTATCCTTCCCAAGCAGCCCCAGGGGCAATCAGCACATAACAAAGCCAAATAATACTCCTCTACCTGGGAAGGAGCCTGATCCACTGCTCAGCCCAACATGAGACTCTGCAAACTCTGAAATGTCTCCCTGGTAGCCTGCTGTGTTCCAGCCATGGTGGAGGTACCTGCTGCGCTCCCTGGCTTCTCCCAAAAAGCCGGCACCTGCAGCCCCAAAGGCCAAGTGCCAGCCCTCACCCAGAGACACTCCAAGTCACTTTCTTCAGCCTGTAAACCTCCCCCTCTGATCAGCCATGGCACTGCTCCAGCTGCCAGAGGGCTGGGCTGGCACCGCCATCCCTGCTGGCACCCACAGCGGCTGTCCCTGGGAAGCACAGCAGAGCTCACGGCACTGCAAGAGCTGCAAACTACACTGGGTGCGCCACAAGAAAGCCTGCCCCGGGTCCCTACAAAACAGGAGTGGAGTCATGGTGAGTGGGAGAGGCAATCCACTTGCTACCCACAAGCTGCCCCATTCCCCCGGGGATGGAGCATATGCAAAATAAATGGCATTCTTGTCAGACCCCTTAGTACAGTACAGGTTCTGATCTGCTCACGCCGCAGCGAAGGCAGCTGTATCTCCAGCACAGCTTCCTGACCTCCCATCCAGCTCACGCAGGCTGTCCTGGATTGAGTTCCTTTCCCCCAGAAAAACTCCAGGTCTGTCAGGGCTGGGAGGACCCTGTGCACTGCAAACCCTCTCTACAGCCCCTACCAGCCACAGAAGGCCCCAGAGCAGCCTCAAAGCAGCATAAGCCCAGGCAAGTGGTCCCAAAACATCAGCATCCCACCAGCCTGAAGGTGTCTGCGTTTCACAGCAGCCTCCCTCTCCCTCCTGCCAGTGACCCAACGCCCCAGGCTCCTTCTCCCTTTCTGGCTGCCACAAGCAGCGAACGGGGCATGTGCCCACGTAGGAAAGGTCCTGGGCAGGGCAAACAGATGCCAGGACAGAGGCACAGAGCTGGGTGAACCCAACCCCTGCTGTCTTGTCACCAGGCCACCTAGCTTGCCTCAGCTCCACTGTGCAGAACACCTCTCCCTGTGGTGGTCTTACACCACCACGCAATGTCCTCAGGGTGCAAGTGGGCCGGTCCACACTTTGAATCCGAGGAGACTATGAGTGAAGACAGTGTAAATTACCACTGAACTTGCCTGAACTCCACCAATTTATCCTTGCTGCAGATGTGGGGCCAGCCACCAAACAGGTACTGCACTAGAGTACCAAAAGCCTCAGAATTTCACAGGCAAGAGGTGAAAGCACGCTGGAGTCAGGAGATGACACCTCCCCAGCACAGCTCCCCACAGAAGGCATGCCCAGCGGCCATTTTGCAAAGGGAATTATCTGACCGTTGCACCAAAAGTGAGTGGGAACATGGTAACTGCTCATCGCAGTGCGTTTGTTTACAGCCGAGCTTCCTCTGAGTCATGTGAGTGCCAAGCCGGCAGGAGACGGCTGTTTGTACTTGTGCAACTCGCCAAACGGTGGCAAAGTTCTGCAAAAAGCCTTTTGAAAGAAAAGTTAAACTTTTGTCATCCGTTCCCAGCTCTTTTGTGACATGCGCGGAGGTGGTGGAAGCGGATCCTGCCCGTCCCAGAGGGCCACTGTCAAACTGTATTAGTAAACAAAACCCAGAGCACGTTACACATGCAACACATCCACTGTCAGTGGTGCTCCCGTCAGCAGACCGCGGAATTAAACAGGCACGGCAGAGGGGAACACCGGCTCGGCTTTCCGCACATGCCCGCACACCCACACACTCGCTCCCTGGCCACGCACGGCTTGGCTTTGAATGCCTCTTGGCCTCCGATTTAGC